TGAAACGTGAAAACTGGCCTGGGCAGGAAGGTGTAAAATTGCCCGGTGTTGAAATGGTTAAACACATATAGATCCAATGACATTTGTCTGTTTGCCCACTTACCACTAGATAATATTCAATAAAAGACAAGAACATTGTAAATTCAGATCTCTGTAATTACACGCCTATTTAACTCACCCTCTAATTTTTCAAATACTTTGTTTCCTAACATCAACGCCCTTTATTTATTTATTTTTAGCTGTTACATTCTTTTGCTCAGAGATCCGATCTCTTCTTCACGGTACAGTTTTAGCGGAATGAGTCGTAAAATTGGACTTTACAGTCTAGCCCTAGCGAGATTATATACAAACTGTGTGTAAGAACTAGTGCGCTCAATGTATGCAGCGCAGGCATTTTGGTTAAACCTCCTAATGCCTGATCAAACATTGTTTTAATGCATAAGTCATAGATCGAGATGTAATGATTTGTATCTTCCAGTAGCTGTACTGCAGCTTGTTGTGTGTGCTAGAAGAAGGAGGCGTCATATACATGCTCAGCCTAACAGAGGCTTAGATCCCACATATGTTGGTAAATATGTTACATGCCATTTTGAGTTGATTTGATTTTAATTAACAATCAGTTTCCAATTCTGGCATTAGAAAAGATTACAGCTATCTGGCAAAAAAAAAAAAAAAAGTTGAATCCAGGATTTGATTTTTATTTTACTCTGCACACATATGTAGTAGTCTAAAAGTTTCCCTGGTGTCATTGCGACAGGTTGTGGGGGGATTTTAGATTAAAGTGGTTGTAAACCCTTACATATACCCAGCAAAGTGAGGTGATACACAGAGATTAAACCAATTCTTCAACATATTGTGAATTGTACCTGTTTATCTGTAGCATTCTCTTCTCTACAACACACATTCTCCGCTCCTCACAAGACCTCCTTCCTCGTCTCCTCCTCCCATGCCCGCCTCCAGGACTTCTCCAGGGCATCACCCATCCTCTGGAACTCCCTACCCCAATCCATCAGACTATCACCTACTTTCCTCTCCTTTAGGCGCACCCTGAAAACCCACCTCTTCAAGGAAGCCTACCCCACCCCCTGCTAATTGCCGCCCTCCTCCACTCTTCCTACCACTCCATCCCCCACAGCCATTTCCTCCTGTACCATTATCCCCTCCCTCATAGATTGTAAGCTCCAAGGAGCAGGGCCCTCGAACCCCTCGTGTATCGCATTGTATTGTTATTGTACTGTCTCATGTATTGTCTCCCATTGTAATGTAAAATGCTGTGCAAACTGTTGGTGCTATATAAATACTGTATAATAATAATAATTTGTTCAAAAAGCAGACATTTTACAGCTTATCTGAGCTATCAGAAAGCAGAGGGAGGGGAGCTGAAGTTACACTCTGCAGAGGAGAGCTCTGAGAGCTGATTGGAGGGAAGAGACACCCCCCCCCCACACACACACACACACACACAGAACTAGGGGCGGACTGACAACTCATGGGGCCCCCGGGCAATAGGGGATCATGGGGCCCCTGTGTCCTTGCCTACACTCAAAGCATACCCAAAAAAGCCTATAAGAGGTACCAGGCGCATTTCATGGGGCCCCCAACTGACCCTGGGCCCTCGGGCAGTGCCCGAGTGCTCAAATGGTTAGTCCGCCCCTGCACAGAAAACAGAAACAGAGCTGAAGCTGCCAATCGCAGGCTATGTGCTGGAGCTTCCTCTCCATCACCTTTTTTTTTTTCTTGGTGTCAGGAAAACTTGTCCGAAGTGATTCATGCACATAGCAGAGGAATGAGGCAGCAGTCAGAAATGACACTTAGGCGGTTCTTTACTAAACCTGGAGATTGCAAAATCTGGTGCAGCTCTGCACAGAAACTAATCAGCTTCCAGGTTTTATTGTCAAAGCTTAATTAAACAAACTGAAGTTAGGAGCTGATTGGCTGCCATGCACAACTGTACCAGATTCTGAGCACACCAATGTTAGTAAATCTCCCCCTCATTGTTCTGTATTGAGACAAGTACACACTATAGAGGGGTATGTTTTGTTCATATTTCGCATCAGACGTTTACAACAATGTCTCATCTTCAGGGCTGGTGTGTATATGTGATGACACTGGACAAATAGAAGGGAGGTATTTGTACTTTTGGATTTAGAAGAGTAGGTCCCCTTTCAGAGGGGCTGACAAGCAGTGAAGGTGTAGTTGTTCATACAGCCTTGTTCTGTTCCCAGTCTGCTGTCTGTCTGAGAGCCTCAAAGAGAACAATCAATAGTGATGGGCTTAATGTTCGAGTCAAACGTAAGTTTGACTCGAGCATTGGCTGTTCGTGTGTTTGGTGAACTCACGAATGGTAAGGGCGTTTGGCGGGTTATTCACCCACCGCGCCCCACAATGCACTGCTCTCAGACAGTGCATTCTGATTGGCCAAGGCAATGTACCTAACCACAGGCCAGGTGCAATGCTGTGGCCAATCACAGCACAACTGGGCGCAGCTAGCCGTGATGTAAGAGCTAGCTCCGCCCAATTGTTTACATCTGACTGGCAACTGTCAGACCTGTCAGATGCAGCAAGTGCTCGGCGGGTACAGACGGGTTGGCGGGCGTTGTTTTTTTTTTTTTTTTTTCATTTCAGCGAGTCTCCATGACAACGCTGGATGACGTAATTGACGATGGATTACATCGATGGAACTGTTTTTTTTTGGCTCTTTTTTCTTAAATAAAGGACTTGTCAAAAACTGTTGTTGTGTTTTTATTAACATTGTACAGTTTTTTGGTGAATGGGTAGAAGTACTATGTACCCCATACTCATTCACAAGGGGGACAGGATTAGGTGCCCCCTTGTTAAAGGGGGTTACAGATTCAGATAAGTCAATCCACGCAGACCCCCCACAACCACAGCCCAAGGTTGTGGGGAAGAGGTCCTTGTCCCCATCAACAAGGCGCTTTGGGGGGGAGCCCCATGTTGAGGTCATGTGGTCTGGTACTGTTCAGGAGAGGGAGGTGCTAGTTCACCCCCCCTTTCCAGACAGGCATGTACTTGGATCAAGAGTCTGGTAGGAATTTAGGAGAGACCCCATGGTCCCCCCCATTTTTGGAGGGTAGGGTTCCCCTTGAAAGTCCTACCAGGCCAGGCAGCACAGTGGCTAAATGGTTAGCAGTATTAGGGCCGTTGGTTCGAATACCAGCCACGGCACCTCCTGCCTGGAGTTTGCATGTTCTCCCTGTGCCTGCGAGGGTTTCCTCTGGGTACTCTGGTTTCCTCCCACACTCCAAAGACATGCTGGTAGGTTAATCGGATCCTGTCTAAATTGGCCCTTGTATATGAATGTGAGTTAGGGATCTTAGATTGTACGCCCCTTGAGGGTCAGGGACTGATGTGAAGGTACAATATATATGTAAAGCGCTGTGTAAATTGCTGGCGCTATATAAGTACCTGAAATAAATAAATAATACCAGGCCAACTGACCAGTTGGATATGGCACTGGGAGTCTGTTGCTGAGATAACAAACTAACACTACGCATTCACTCAGCGCTTCACTTGCTGTCACAAATCTGGAAATTGTATACAATCAAATTATTACTATTATATACAGGAGTTATATAGCACCAACAGTTTGCGCAGCGCTTTACAAAATGAAGGCAGACATTACAGTACAAGAGGAAACAGAAGGCCCTGCATGTTAGAGCTTACAATCTAGGAGAATGGATAGTGTATGGGGAACTGATAAGACATGCTACAGTGAGTAAGGAAGTCTGGCATTCAATAAAATAAGTAGTGACACGGATCATTATCGGTGTGCTCACACACATCTAAATAAAATACATTCAAATGAAATACAATAAGTCCCAGAGGTTAACTGGCCAAATTTTGACCAGGGAAAGTCTCTGGCTGACAATGCTGGTGGAACCAAGGCTGCCTCCTAAAGTGGGTTGGGAACAGGAACATTATAGAAGAGAAAGAGATGGGGAGGAATCTCTCCCTGAATGGTCACTACCAGGGGCGGACTGACAACTCATGGGGCCCCCGGGCAATAGGGGATCATGGGGCCCCCGGGCAATAGGGGATCATGGGGCCCCTGTGTCCTTGCCCAAACTCAAAAAAAGCCTTGAAAAAGGTACCAGGGGCATCTCATGGGGCCCCCTACTGACCCCGGGCCCTCGGGCAGTGCCCGAGTTTCCAAATGGTCAGTCCGCCCCTGGTCACTACATCCCTAGGTCCGACAGCTCTCTGTCTGATTGGCCACTACATCCCTAGGTCTGACAGCTCTCTGACAGCTTGGCCTGCTTGTGACAATTCTCTGGCCCCAGCCTGGCTTTCTGCATGCTTCCATGCAGCAGTTCTGACATCTCAGCGGCTCCTGCACAGATGGGACTCACTTTGGTGGCTCCACACTGAGCTTCATATGCCTGTTCCTTTGGACGTTTGTAAGTGTATTTTATTGTACATCTATTGTACATTTTTCTGAATAAAACTGTGCTACACTATCAGTGGCTCGGCACCTCTTCCTCCCATCCTTTTCTCTGTTGCTGAAATAAACCTGTGCTGCCTAATTTGTTGCCGAGTGTAGGAGCCTACCTGCCAGGGGATGCCATTGTTAATGTAATGCTCTCCAGGTTAGTTAGATAGAAGTTTGTTGTTCTTTTTTTCTAGACAAAGGCTGAGTAGCAGCCTGGGATGAGTCAGCCTGGGAGTGAGGTAGAGAGGTTACCTCACGACAAGCCAGGGAGGTTCTGAAGCTTCTGGATCCCTCCCATCACTCCAGAAGCTTTCTGGAGGAGGGGAGGAAGCTTGGATTTGCATGCTTAAGGGACCTTGGCCAATCCCTTGGCAAAAGGCTGGCCATGGAGACCAAGGCAACACTTAAGAATAACAGAGCCTAGGAGAGTCAGGGCAGTGTCAGATGGAAGATGGAGTGAGAGGCTGGAGTGTAGAGACTGGAAGGGCCTATTTACAGGCAAGTGCTGGAGAAGAGGATCTCCACTGTACCAGCATCTTCAAGGGAAGATATCCTGAGCATCAGGGAAGGAGCCAGCCCAGTGAGGCCTGAAGGCAACCATCAACCTATTAATCTATCAGGAAGGACAGTGTGAGTACTCTTACACCACCTGGGCTGAATAACAGGACAGGGTAGCCAGATGCAGGGGCGGACTGACCATTTGGAAACTCGGGCACTGCCCGAGGGCCCAGGGTCAGTAGGGGGCCCCATGAGATGCCCCTGGTACCTTTTTTATAGGCTTTTTTGAGTTTGGGCAAGGACACAGGGGCCCCATGATCCCCTATTGCCTGGGGGCCCCATGAGTTGTCAGTCCGCCCCTGGTCAGATGTAAAGCCCAACTAGTTTCTTATCTGGGGCTGCTGTGCTAAATTGGCAGTTTCTGGCCCCCCTTGACCAAGGAATACCCTCAGTGCAGCTGGGTGAAGAAAAGGATTCATCTGGAGACTGAGGAGGTACATCAGAGAACTGGAAGGCTCTTCTTAACCACTTGCCCTCCAGAGGATTTACCTCCCTTTCCAACAGTCCATTTCTTGCGTTATGGCGCTGCGTTATTTTAACTGACAATTGCACGGTCATGCAACGCTGCACCCAAATTAGGTTTACAACCTTTTTTTACCATGAATTGAGCTTTCTTTTGGTGGTATTTGATCACCTGTGAGTTTTATATTTTTTGCGTCCAGTAAAAAAAAAGTTAAAAATCAAATTTCATCATACATTTAGGCCAAAATGTATTCTGCTACATGTCTTTGCTAAAAAAGAGTTATAGTGTTTACAAATGGCTCTATATATAGTGGGATTTTAAATTTTTTTACATTTTTACTAGTAATAGCAGTGATCAGCGACTTATAGCCGGACTGCGGAACTGCAAAGGGCATTCTGACACTGGGGGGAACTGACTTGGTGTCATTGACATCCCCAGTGACACCAATACAGTGATCAGTGCTAAAGAAAAAGCACTGACACTGTACTAATGGCACTGGGCAAGAAGGAGTTAACATGAGGGGCAATCAAAGGGTTAACTGTGTGCTGTGTACTGTTTTACTTGGCGCTGTGTCCATGTGCTTAACTGAAAGCACACTGCTTTGCATGGCTGTGCTGTTTTGTTTACAAACAGTCTTCCTCCCCGTTGGAGATGCTCAGAAATCACTGGGCACCGGCGAGTAATCACCAACCGGGACCCAGTGATTGACAGCCACGAATAGTGGCACAGGTAGGCGGCGCAGGTGCCTCGCACGAGCCGCCTACCCGGAAATGCAAAATCACGCATATATACGTGATTTTGCGCACCCGTACCGCCCTGTAGCAGTATATCTGCTATAGGGCGGTTGGGAAGCGGTTAAAGGAGAGACTATTTGGTCCACAACTGTACATAGTTGCTCAGGAGTTGTTCTCAAGTTTACAGTTCCTTGAGCATCCCATAAACCACTCCACCCCATCCAAGTTCTATACCACTTAATAAAATCACAAAACCAAGCTCAAGGACTGTTTACTGACTCTGAGTGCAAAGTGTAGAAGAAAATGCATGTTGTCTGGTGTGTGCAGAGCTGTAGGGGGACCAGGGGCGGACTGACAACTCATGTGGCCCCCGAGCAATAGGGGATCATGGGGCCCCTGTGTCCTTGCCCAAACTCAAAAAAGCCTATGAAAAAGGTACCAGGGGCATCTCATGGGGCCCCCTACTGACCCCGGGCCCTCGGGCAGTGCCCGAGTTTCCAAATACTCAGTCCGCCCCTGATGGGGACCCAAAACTCAGTGACTCCTAAGGGGGTAGTGCTACATTAAGGAACTGTGGCTGCATACAGACCAAGTGAAGAATTACAGCATTGCAACCCTTACAAGTGGGACTAATGCTGCTGCTTCCGGGGCTTCTGCTCTTGTATCCAGGACAGCTGCCACCACATCCAGAGACTGCAAGGGCCAGCCTGACAGAGACACTGTCCTGGATCACCATACAAGACTGCTAGAGTGGTCAGAGGCCACTTGACCACTGATTTTACCTTCTTGTATGCAGGTGCAGGTATTGTGTAGAAAATAAAGTATCCTTCATTTTGGGTGATATTTGTTAATTGGTTATCTTTGTGGAAACGTTTTATATGCAATGTGTCATTGAGTCAGCAGGCTTCCTGAGTCTAGGTTCACACCCAGGGGCGGACTGACAACTCATGGGGCCCCCGGGCATTAGGGGATCATGGGGCCCCTGCGTCCTTGCCCAAACTCAAAAAAGCCTATGAAAAAGGTACCAGGGGCATCTCATGGGGCCCCCTACTGACCCCGGGCCCTCGGGCAGTGCCCGAGTTTTCAAATGGTCAGTCCGCCCCGTTCACACCTAAGCGTTTTCTTCTGCGTTTTGCGGAAGCGCACAGTAGTCCGTTTAACATTATTTCCTATGGGACAGGTTCACATCTCTGCGTTTTTCTGGAAAGGGTCAGGGACTTTTCTAAACACAAAACATTGCATTTTTGGTTCTATAGACTTCAATGGAGACGACGCTGCAGAAAAGCATGCAGTGACGCGTTTTTCATGTGTTTTGCGTTTTAATCTGCCCAACAACAAGTAAAAAGAAAACAAAAAAAGCAAAACACATCAGAAACACTACAAAAATGTGTCAAAAACACATCGGAAAACACACTGCAGAAACAGATCGAGTGCAAACTGCATAGGTGTGAACCTGGCCTAAGAGTCAGGAGGGAGTTAAGGTTACCAACTCCCTGGTGCTCATGGTTCTGCTCCTTTTGGGTAGACCTTAAATAAAAGGGGAGGCAACATTTCTGGGTCTTTGCCTCTGCATGGGAACTAACAGGAAGGGGTTCTGCATGATGTGAGCTCTACGTAGGGGTATCTAACTCTTGAACTGGTACCGAGTCGGGGTGCTGGACAGAATTAAGGACTTTGAGCTGAATGGACTCTTCACTAATCTCAGGTTTGAGATAAGGCCAGGGGTGGACTGACCCTTCGGGAACTTGGGCACTGCCCGAGGGCCCGGGGTCAGTAGGGGGCCCCATGAGATGCCCCTGGAACCTTTCATAGGCTTTTTTGGGTGTGGTTTGAGTGTAGGCGAGGACACAGGGGCCCCATGATACCCTATTGCCCGGTGGCCCCATGAGTTGTCAGTCCGCCCCTGGATAAGGCATCCTGAATACGAGAGAGAGATAGAGGGAAGAAGAAGCGACTGTACAGGAATTGTGCTGGTTTGACTTTTCAGTAAACGTTTCCAAGTTATCTTTTTGTAAAGGTGCCTGGTCTGACGTTATTACAAAAGGGGATGCATGTCATGGTATAAACAGGGCTTTTTTTCTCAAATAATAGGTGCAGGAACTCCCCCTTTCCTAGTCACGTCTTGTCTCCCCCCCTACTCATGTCCTAGTACAGCTCCTTCTAGAATACAGAGCCAAGCATCATTTTGCGGTGCTAAATAATTTGTGTGGAATTTGTTAATGATAACAAGAAAAGCAGAAAAATAGATCCCTCCCAGCCAGAAAACAATAGCCCCCCCTAGCAACAATAGATTCCTCCAGCAACAATGGACCCCCAAAACAAAATACCACCCTAGCAACAATAGAACCCCAGCAGCTACAACAGATCCACCACAGCCAGCAACAATAGCCCCCACCACAGCAACAATAGATTCTTCCGGCAACAATGGATCCCCAAAACACAATACCACCCTAGCAACAATAGAACCCCAGCAGCTACAACCGATCCCCCACAGCCAGCAACAATAGCCCCCACCACAGCAACAGTAGATTCCTCCAGCAACAATGGACCCCCAAATCAAAATACCACCCTAGCAAAAATAGACCCCCAGCAGCTACAACAGCCAGCATCAATAGACTCTCCAGCAGCCAGCAACAATTGACATAGACCCCTTCCTCAACAGTAGATCCCTTCCAGCAACAATTGACCCCCATTAACAATAGATCTTCCACCAGCAACAATAGACCCCCTTCAGTGACAATAGACTCGCCAGCACCCAGCAACAATAAATCCTCCAGCATCCCTTGCCATTATATACATTCAATGCTGCAGTTCCCCCATGTTTTCCCACGTTCCAGCATGTTCCCCTTGAAAAAAAGCCCTGCGTATATTAAAGATCAGGGCTTGTATAAAAAGAGAATGAAGAGGAGATGAGAGATGGACACCATGACAGGGTTAATCATGTAGAGGTGTTGACAGGAGATGTGATTATGTTGTCCCTCTCATGAGTAACCAGCGGAGGGGTGCGGAAGGCTATAACAGTCAGACAATGAGAACTTTTTGACTTTTCATGGGAGATGGTATCCTGGGTAGCGAGATGGCTAATGAGCTTGACACCCCCCCAGTGATAGGTACCCCATACTTGGGACATACATCAAAGCACAGGGAGGCTATGGAGTAATGCCCCGTACACATGTTTAGAAAATAATACGAAACATTTTGTGGAACCACTGATCAAATTATTTTCTCTTCGTTGATGAGCAGGATGTTTTAACCGATAACGATATTGTGAACGAAAAAAATCCGGTTGAACAACAGTGAAAAATGTTGTCGTTTCGCATACGAATGACCGATTTTCTATGCGGTGGAATGACAGTCGTACAAAAAAAAATCTATCAAGCGCTATCACGCATGAGAGGAAACAGAAGATGACTCGGATGTTTCTGTCCAAGGAATCTTCGGAAACACGAACGAAAAATCCAAATGTTAAAAGTAGATTGGGCCAATGAGATGATGAAACCAGAATTCTGCAGATTATATTTTATGTATCACTATTTATGTATATAGGTCATGTAATAAACGATATTATACTCATTGCTGGTCATTGTTGTGTATATCGATCGTTCTGGCCGGAAGGGCGTGGCTACAAGGTCACACGCACACCGCATCACTTCCACTTGTACGGAAGACGTCAGCACTACGTATTGCCTGATGAACAATATTTTTAGATTAGTTAACGTGGGCCACAATTTCAACCAATGAACAAACGCCTCTCGGTCGTCAGATGACCAATTGGTCGATTTTCTAATCGTGTATTCCCACCTTTAGCCTTGAGGTACTGGAAGAGAGAGGGAGTAAGAAGTGGATCCAAGTAAACTTTTTAGGTCCCTTTCACACGGGCGTTCCGTTTTTTTCATCAGCTCAGTCACGTTTTTTTCTAAGAAAATAGGGATCAGTTCACATCAGTTTACATCTGTTTTTTAATCCACTTTTCATCCATTTTTCATCTACTTTTCATCCAGTTTTCATCCAGTTTTCATCTGTTTTTCATCCAGTTTTCATCAGTTTTTCATCCATTTTTCATCAGTTTTATATCCATTTTCATCTGATTACATCCGTGTTTGTCTGTTTACATCTGTTTTCATCCATTTTATGTCTGTTTACATCTGTTTACATCTGTTTTTCATCCATTCACATCCATTTTTTGTCCCTTCCGGTTTTTTTTTTTAACAGAACAGATGCAGACAGATGATCATCCGTTTACATCCGCTAGTCTACAGAAACACATGAGTGTCTGTTTTTTCATCTGTAAATGGACATACGGAACGCCCGTGTTAAAGCTTAAGCTCATTACCAGCAGAGGTCTGTGCTGTGTAAATGGCGGGATTCTCTGATTGTCACTGGCAGTGAGTTGGCAATCATGGCTGAGCTGGTTGGGCGTCACACACACTTTGCGGGGTCTGATCCAAAATGCTGCATTTATGAAGAGAGGAGAAGGTGTACAGTGACATGAGAAGAGTGCTCAACTCAAAGGTGGAATTGTACGAGGCAAACTTCTCTCGCTTCTACGTTTGGGTGCCACCTTAATGCTAATTTTGCATGATGCAAGCCCCACCCACATTCTACCTATTTAAAGGGATAAGACTGCCCTCTTACTGGGATATTCATTACTCTTTTCTTTGGTTCTTTAGGGAACAACCAGGGGTGGACTGACCATTTGGAAACTCGGGCACTGGGTCAGTAAGGGCCCCATGAGATGTCTTTGGTACCTTTTTCATAGGCTTTTTTGAGTTTGGGCAAGGACACAGGGGCCCCATTATCCCCTATTGCCTGTGGGCCCCATGAGTTGTCAGTCTGCCCCTGGGAGCAACTTTCCCCTTTTCCTTGGAATAAAACATCTATTTAAAGCAAGAGCAGCGTCTTGTTATTTGTGACTCTTACCAATGGTGTCATCTCCATAAACATTCTGTAGACTTCTGTGGATGTTGGACAGCCTGCACCCCTCCTTCATCAAGAATTCAGCTTGGAATTCCTTATTTACCTGCAGTTTATTATTATTATTATTATTATCATACAGGATTTATATATCGCCAACAGTTTGCTCAGCGCTGTACAAAATGAAGGTAGACATTACAGTTACAATACAATTTGGGACAAGAGGAAACAGAGGGCCCGGCTCGTTAGAGCTTACAATCTAGGAGGAAGGGTAACTGCAATGAAAAAGAAGATGAAAAGTTAGAATAGAGGGAGTTTTACTCTGCCAACATGTAAGTTAACCCCTTGGCGCCTGCGCCTCCTGATGAGAGCAGGGCGGGGTTTACGATCATGTGACCGCTGTGATTGGCTGTCACAAAGATCACATGATTGGAAAGCTCCTGATCGCAAGTAACAATTGGGAGCTTTTTTATACAATTGGAGTAAGAATACATAAAAATAGATGCAACAAGAGAGATGTAGCAGTTACCTGTGGAAACTATCGCAAGTAACAATTGGGAGCTTTCCGTGCGGCGCCAGTAAATGTGCCAGGAGCGCTCAGGGTGCGCACTCTCGGCACATGTTTGTTTAGATTGGGTACGCAAATATGAAGCTTTTTGGCATCAAGGCCCAGCTGCTGAGAGGTCACATATTTGCTTACCATCGGTGCCAAGGTCATGCCCACTTTTGCATTACTTTTGGAACAGCTCTAATACTTTCAACATTTTTTTAACCCCTGTTAACCCCTTGGCGCCAGCGCCTCCCAGGGAAAGGGGCAGGGTTTAAGGTCATGTGACTGCTGTAATTGGCTGTCACAGTGGTCACATGATTGGAAAGCTTCTGATTGCAAGTAACGGTCGGAAGCTTTCTGTGAGGCACCAGTAACTGTGCCAGGAGTGCTTAGGGGGCGCAAGCTCTCCGCACATGTTTGTTTACATTGGGTATGCAAATATGAGGCGCATTCGACCAATGACACCAATGAGGTCACATATTTGCGTACCATGGGAGCCAAGGAGTTAATAATAAAAAGGTTTGTGCCCACTTTTGCATTACTTTTGGTACAGCACTAATATTTGCAACATTATTTAAAATTAGTTTCAAAAATGTTTTTTTTGTTTTTTTGTTTTTTCACCTTTATGTAATAAAATTTGGGATCTGATACTTTTTTGTTTTTGTTTTACATGGTGACGCTCCCAGAAATAAGGGAGTTAATTTACTGAAACTGGAGCACTCAGAATCTGGTCCAGCTGTACATGGTAGCCAATCAGCTTCTTACTTCAGTTTGTTCAATTAAGCTTTGGCAATAAAACCTGGAAGCTGATTGGTTTCTCTGCAGAGCTGCACCAGATGTTGCTCTCTCCAGTTTTAGTCAATTAACTCCTACGAGCTGACCAGACCAACTGAGGGACCCAATATGGAGATGGGTCCCCACCATTTTCCCCAAAACATTAGATTTAAAATAACAGCTGCAACAGATTTTGTACGCTCCAATTTTAGTAAATCAACCCCAAGGTTACTAACTGGAGTGAATTTATAAAATTGGAGTAAGAAGACATAAAAAAAAGATGCAACAACAGAGATGTAGCCTGATGAGCAGGGCGGGGTCATGTGATCGCTGTGATTGGCTATCACAAAGATCACATAATTGGAAAGCTCCTGATTGCAAGTAACAATTGGGAGCTTTACGTGAGGCACCAGTAAATGTGCCAGGAGCGCTCAGGGTGCGCACTCTCGGCACATGTTTGTTTAGATCGGGTACGCAAATATGAAGCTTTTTGGCGTCAAGGCCCAGCTGCTGAGAGATCACATATTTGCTTACCGTCGGTGCCAAGGAGTTAACCTCCCTGGCGGTATGATTATTTCAGATTTTTTGGTGCTGAAAGCGGTACCATTATTCTGCATGGAAATCTGTCGTTTTTTTATTGTAGGCTGT